ATATATATATATATATAAAGAAGAAAAAAAAGCAATACAAGAATATCTTGAATATGCCAAAAATAAAAATAAAAAAACAGATATAAATCTCTTCATGGAAAGGCACGCACAAATATATCCTTATTACAGAGTCATTTGTCAAATAATTGTTTATTTGCTCTTTTCCCTCTATTCGGATTTGATATATTCTTATTATTCTATCTTTTTTTTTCTCTCTTTTTCGTTCTTTTCCCCTTTTTTCTTTATCTTTTTTTTTTTTGCCCGCAATGAAATCTCATCACAGGACGAACGCAATCATATTTAGACATAAGCGGAATTGTAACAGGAAAATAAAAATAATAAAGAAAAGAGAACCAAAGGATAAAACCAAAACAAACAACCATAGGGTCTTTTTTTTTTTCAGAGAGAAAGATAAATATATATAAACCAGCTCCCTTTTTTTTTCCCTCTTTTCTTTCTACCAGTATGCTAAATAGTTATCATTATTATCATTATTATTTGACGTAACCTGGATTTCTCCATATTTTGACCAGTATATATATTTTTTCTTTTTTTTCTTTTATTACATTTTGGTTTTTTTTTTTTTTTTTCTTGGTGCGTTTCCACCCCCATTTATTCCTCATATTCGTTCATTTCTTCATAAGGCGGGAAGGTTGAAAACGGACACACAAGCGTCAGTGAACAAAGAAGAAAAAAAAAAAAAAAACACAAAGAGAAGGGAAGCGCCAAACCAAAAGAGTAAAAATATGCCATACACAATAATACAAGAAAAAAGAAAAATAAAGAAAAATAAAAAAACACGACATAGAGAAGGGAGTTCGTAAAGCTAGAGAAAGAAATAAATAAAAAAAAAAGGGGGGAGGGGGAAGGGAAGGGGAGTGTACACACGCCTAACGCATGTACACACAAGAGAAATAGAAAAAATATCACGAGGAGTAAAATTCACTCAGTTCGCCAATATTACCCTATTTTCCTTGTCCATTTGCCATTATCTTCACTTTTTTTTTCTCGTTCTTTTTTCTTTTATTTTATTTTTTTAATTTTCCTTCCCATTCCCCAACGCAGAGTCTGTAGGCGAGGAATTTCCCCCCTTTCTTGCCAAACACGACACTCAACCGGCAACAATATACACTCGAGAATGGACTGCATTGTACGGGTTGTGCATATACCGCTGCCGTCCCACGTGTGTCTCTGCGATATTGTTGATATTGTCGCTGCTGCTTCTACTGCTTTGCGTACTGACGGCCCCAACGCTATGGCGCTCCTGACTCAAAACAGCAGAAATGAGATTCGGAGGAAGTAAGAAGGTAGACTGGCAATGCAGGGGGTCACCCTCCTGTGCACATACAGATCCCATCACTAAATGTCTCCGGGAGTCTTCTCTGCACATATTGTAGCTGCTGCTGCTCCTGCTGCTGTTAGTCACATTATTACTGCTGATGCTGCTGCGTCTGCCAGCCGACGTCACCTCAGGGGTGATGATTTGCGACGGCATCTTGTTGCCAGCACGCTTCTGCTGATGATCTTCTGCGAGTTTCACCATGAGTGGAATGGAGCCGCTGCTTGGAAAGGGACGGGTGTTGTGCACACACTCCGCCGCCCGCTCCGCCGCTCCCTCGGCGAGATACGCCACAAACGCAATGCGCCGCTCAAGCCGGCGGTCCGCCACAGCGGCGGTGTCTTTGTGGATTGATATTTCCTTCACTGGGCCGTACTGGCGGAAGAGCGCCGTGAGTTCGTCCACCGTCACATCAAGTGGAATATTGCGCACAAACAGTTTGAAGATCTTCTTGCGGGCCTCACCAACAGGCGTGTCATCGTGTTGTTTCTTTGCCCAATGCACAGAAATGGTGCGGCCAAAAACACGTTTGCCGTGACACTCGAGTAGTGCGGCCCGTGCCTGTTCTGTTGTGGCGTAGCGAACAAAAGCCGTGCCGAGGTTCTCACCGGTGTGTATATTACGCATCACCGCCGCTGAGAGGATCTCACCATAAGGGGCGAAGACACGTTTGATTTCCGCTTCATCCGCACGGGCGGGCAGTTTGCGCAGAATGAGATTGGTGCTGCTTTGCTCCGCGTTGGGTGTGAGTTTGTTCTCTGAGAGTTTCGGGACACACCGCTTCCGCTTAGGGCGCTCTCCCTGCTGTTGCTGTGAATACTCCAGTTGTTCTTGCTGCTGCCCACTCTCTTCCTCAGTTCCCTGCTGTTGTTGATGGTTTTGCGGCATCGACTCCATAGGCTCCACGGCATCTTGAGAACTTGTCTCAGTTCTTGAAAGATAATCATCAAACAGAGGTGCCGGACATACGGGAAAATTCTGGTGGGGGTGCGTGCAGGCCGTCATAGACTGAGCTGTGGTCATTATTGATATTACCTTGAGTTGTTGAATAAGAATAAATTCTCTTCGTTTTTTTTTTTTTTTCCTTTGCACTCTTATTCGGCGTTCTGGTTGTTTATTTATTTTTTCAGCTAGATAAAAGACTTTGCGTAAAATAGAGACACTGTTGATATTATCACGATTATTATCAAACGTTTGAACAAGCGTAAATAGGTGTGTGAGACAGATAAAGAAAGAGAGAAAGAGAGAAAGTGTATGTGAAATGGGAAAAAAAAAACAGGGCAAAAAGAGGCGTATAGAGTGTGAAGATCCAGTGGATATGGAAAAATATTATCCATTAAGGTCATTATAATTACAAAAGTAACACATTAAACAAAAAGCATACCTAGATATGCATGCTGTGTATGTGTACAAAGATAGAAAGGAGGGAGAGGAAGAGAATGAGTGAAACTGCTCAGCAGCAGTAATACGTGTGATGGCCGGCAGAGATACCGTAAAGAATAAGATGAAAACAAACAAACAAAAAGAAAAACAAAAACACCCTTTTCTCTTCTTTGAAACCAAAGAAAATGATAAATTCACTGGTTTTGCTAATGAGAAGCAGAAAAAATTGGGTTTTAAAAAAGTGAACCTCCGCTCTGTAAACTATATATATATATATATATATATAAAAAGAGAGAGAGAATGACATGCACATCATACCCTTTATCCAATGGAAAAGGTCATAACAACAATAATAATCGTGTGAACCAACCAAAAAGAAGGAAGGAATTTTGAGTGGTGCTTTACAGTACTCGCACGGCTCTTCACACCCCTGATGTAGAAAAATAAATCTGTCTATGTGTGCACATGTATGTATACGCATATGTGTATGCTGCTGACGTCGAATAAATAATAATAATAATAATAATAATAATAATAATAATAATAATAATAATAATAATAATAAACACGGACGCCAAGGTCATGAATTCGAGAAAACAAATAATGCGAAAAATAAAAAATGAAAAAAAAAAAACAGTAGCAGCAAAAAGAGGAACTCGGTTGCCGCCGTGAAAAGGTATTATATCTTCTAAGCATCTAAAAACAATACATCATAATCAAATCATATATATATACTATTTATTTTTCTTACATCTTTTTAATATTATACAGTCTGAAGATAAAAGTAACACACATACAAACATTAAATGTACCGTAAAACCCTGTAGTTATTCTTTTTTTTCCTTTTGTTTTATAATGTTTCTTCATTTCTTTCCTTTACACAGATTACATACATACATACATACATACACCTCACTCATATTCACTCCCATTCCCGCCTTCTACGACGTTCTTGTTGTAGATGCCGTTGTTGAGTCCATGGATGCTGCAACACCTCCGCCATCTCCGGCCGCTCGTCAGGGTTCTTTCGGAGCATTGCGAGAATGAGTTCGCGGGCCGCTGGTGTGAGTTGGGCGTCGCGGTGCCACTGCGGTGCGGCCTCGCGGATGGCGTCTATTGTGTCTCGTTGTGATTCGCGATAGAAGGGCGGAGTGCCTGCGAGCATTTCCACCAGCATTACCCCGAGTGACCAGACATCTGTTTTGAATGTGTGCGGCCTGCCGCTGAGCATCTCAGGCGATAAATAGTCGAGTGTGCCGCAGACCGTCAGTCGCCCACGCCCCGCGGCTTGCGGACTCACACTACTAGTGGAATTGGAATTGGAAGTGGGGCATCCGTGGAGGTGTGGTGTATTCGGGGGATTCACAGATGAAGGCTGAGTGTCAGTAGTAGTAGTAGTATTAGTAGTTGGATGAATTCTACATTTGTTTGGGGTGTGTTTGTTGTTGTTGTTGTTGTTGTTTGGATCGGCCAGGGTGGAATCCACAACGGCTTTACTCCAGCCAAAGTCCCCCAGACGTGCCACCCCGCGTCCATCGAGAAGAACATTCTCCAACTTTAAATCACGGTGGGCAATACCGTGTTGATGTAAATAGACCAGTGCCCGGGCGACTTGCCGCAAATATCGTGAGGCCCGACGTTCATCAAAACACCCACCAGGCGTTTCTTTTAGTTTTTGCAATAACGTTCCGCGTGGGCACATCTCCAGCACCAACACAACACTCTGCGGGGTGACATAGTAACTGAGCATACGAACGACATTTGGGTGTCGAAGTCTACGATGAACGTTTATCTCCCATTCCAGTTGTTTCTCCAAGTGTAGATCGCGAAGACGTCTACGAGAGAGTTCTTTCAATGCTACTACTTGTTGAGAAAGTAAATGACGTGCAGCCACAACAACTGAATATGAACCATCACCTAATATTTCTAGTCGCTGAAAATCCTCATCACGAATATCCTCCTGTCGAATAATAAGTTGTTGCTTTCGTTCTTGTTCTTCTTCCTGTTTCTGTTCCTGCATTCGCCGCTGTTGCACTTGCTGTTGCGGTTGAGACCCTAATGATTCCTGTGAAAGCATCTCTGACGGTGATGCCGCGCGAGTTTGTTGTGTGAATGACACATCCTGCGATGATAACTGTGAGTTCGGCTCAGAGAGGAGCGACGATGGCTGAAGTGTGTGTGTCTGCGGACGCCAGGTCATGTGTTGAACACACATAAACGGAGTTGCTGCTGCTTTTGCTAATGTTTGGGAGTTAACATGGCAATGACCCCACATTCGTCGTCTTAATAAATAAATAAATAAATAAATAAATAAAAACCCTCTCTATTGCCGATTTCTGTTCTTTATTTCCTGGATTACTTTTCTTTTTTTCTTAAATTCTGTTTCTGTTTTTTTTTTTTTTTTTTTTTTGTTTTGGTTTTTTCTTAAATTCTGTTTCTGTTTTTTTTTTTTTTTTTTTTTATATTTTGTTTTTGTTTTTTTTTTTTTTTTGTTTTGTTTTGTTTTGGTTTATTCTTTGTTTTGGTTTTTTTTGTTTTTGTTTTTGTTTTCTGTTGTTTTATTATTTATTATTGTAATGGTTTACTGTCCTCACTGTCAACGGTTTCCACACCCTTGAAGGCAACAGCGAGAGTCGACCAGGAAGCCACTATCAATCCTTTTCCTTTAATCACACAGAGGTGTGAAAAGAAAAAAAAAAAAATAGAAACTGAAAAGTTTCTATAACAGTTAGTGGAGAGAGAGAGAGAGAGAGAAAAAAAAAAAAAAAACAGGAGGAGGCAGGTGCGAGAAGAAAACTCACAAATACAAACACACATACTCACCGGAAGAGAAAGAAAGAGGAAGATAGTACGTGTACGTTCATGTGTAGAAAACAAACAAAAAAGTTTTTTTTTTTCCTTCTTTTTAAGGGTTTTAACATGTAGATAAAGTGTTCATTATTGGGTCATTAAGACGACAGCAGCAAAAACGGCATACTGGTGACACGTTTGAGTATCTGTTATCTCCTAATGTGAACAGAGTGCAACCCTTTTTTTTCTTTTTTTTTTTTTTCTCCTCTTCTTCCTTCTTCTTTTTTTTTTCTCTTTTCTCTTTTCCCCTCTGGCTGCCCACTCTCCCTCCACCAAAAGGGAAAAAGAAAAAAAAGAAAAAAAAAAAAAATCATTCGGTTCAACTCAACCATTCGTTAAGATAGGCGCAGTTGCGGGGGTTCAAGACACCAATGCCATTTGCAGAGCACACCGGCAACTGTGCACACCCCAAACACGGCAGTCCCACTGCAGGCATTGCCCACGCACTCGCTTGCGAAACAGGCGCAGGAGACCATATTCCATTAGAAATAAAATCCATATGTGCATCACGTCCATCATCCATTATTCTTGTTCCCATTCCTGCTGTGGTGGTGGATGCCGCTGTGGTGGTTGTGCCGGTTGTGGTTGCGGCCGTTGCTCCTGTTGAGGTTCTACTGCCCACGCCGGCTGTGGTGGCGGTGAAGTGTCGAAGGACATTTCTCCCCGTTGCCAGTTGATATTCGCCCGGGGCGCCGGGAGAGGGCGAGACGCAGTCCAGAATGCCGTCCAGCACTAATGTCTGCACTAATATCTGTGCATCCCGCTGGGAGATACGCTTGTTGCAGCTCTTACTACCACTTGCGGAGGTGATAGTGGAGCCATTGGGAAGTGCCGTAATAACCACCGCACCTCCTCCTCCTCCTCCACCACCAGCAGCAGCAGCAGTATTATTAATATTAGTATTGGGATGATTTGTATTTAAATGACCAGTTGAGGCACTAGATGGAATATCTCCCATCCCGCTGTTGCCGTGGGATTCCTGTAGGTGTTGTGTGATTTGCTCTAGTGAGACGGAGTGAAGCTGTGCTACCAGTGCGACCGCACGTCTGCGCATTTCATCCACAAACCACACATCCATTTCGCGAGAATCCCCACCACCGTAAAATGATCCACCCGTTACTTCATCACTTGGTTCAAATTCAAACAATAAATAAATACGTTTTGCACGATTGGAAAGACATCGTCTCTCTTTAATCCGTTTCTGTGCTACTAGCATTTGCAATGCTTTAATAATCTCAGTTTTAGGAAGGCGTATCTTACTACATAGTGTGGGCTGATCAATACCACTGTTTCCACTCGCACGAATGGCGTCCAACACCAACGAGGGACCCTCCGGCATACTATTCGCAAGCGCCACATATACGCTATTGCTACCATTGGCATTGGTGCTGCGCCGCAGTACAACTTTGCCTGTTTCCATCAGTCCCCGCAGTGCATCTGCAGCCAGGCGTTGGTCGAGTGCGAGATCTCGCTGCAGTGAAGCGAATGGCACCGCTTCCTCGCCAGAGAGTGAAAGACTCGCGAGAATACGCTGCTGCGCACTCGCTACACTCGATGAGGGAGTTGACATCCACGACAAGAGACACACACAGAGAAAGAGAGATAAATAGATAAATAAATAAATAAATAAATAAAGCGTGTGTATATGTGTGAATTGATGTACGTAACAGTATATGTATATATATGTAGATGTAAATGTGCCGCTACTGAGGTAAAGAATGAAATATTAGTAGTAGGGATTCCCACACTTACTTACACACAGAGACGTACACTTTCCGCCTTTGCAGTAATTGTCTACCCGAGACTGGGAAGGAAAGAAATAAGGAAAGGTGAAAAGAAAAAAGAATGAGGCCCCCTCTTCCTTCTAACAACTAGGACCTACTAGACTCACACTCCCTTCAAAATTAAAAGAAAAAAGAAGTAGAAATAAAAAAAAAAGATTATAAGCTAAATAAAAAAAAAAACATATATATTTATATTCAAAGAATGAAAGAAAAATCAAGAAGAAACAATAATCACAAGTGGAAAAGAGAATGAATGGGGAAAAAAAAAAAATTCCAATACCAATACTTGGAACTGTAGCAGTGAGAAGAAACGAACTTGGCATCTGTGAAGCAAAGCAGGATAAAAGCAAGTGAAATAACTAGAGACGATCCCAAGAAACACTTTCCCCATCCACTACTCCCACACAGAATCACAAACAGGGAAAGACAGAAAGAAAAAAAAGAAGGGGAGGGGAATGCGCATTTGCGTTTTTTTTTTTTTTTTCTCTTTCTCTCTCTGTGCGTGTATGCATGGATGTATGAGAGAAAGATAAAAAAAAAGAGAGAGAGAGACATAGACCATACACAAGACGTCCATACACATGGCAGCTAGAGTTCTACTAGAAATCCTTCTGACTACTATTTATTTCTTGTAGTCAATGTATACAACAACCATTTTTAAGCGTGCCGGTTCTGTGTGGATGTGGGTGTCTTGGCCCAAGTCATACCAGCTATCTCCATCTCTGATGGGTACCTGTCTTTTTTTTTTTTTTTTGCTTCTCTTAATCATTAAGAGAGAGATAATAGTAAAGTGAAAAAAAAAAAAAAAATCTCGCTCTCCCCAACCCCTCACCGCAGAGAGAACTTCATGTTTGATTGTTCGCCATTTCCCCTTCCCGCTTCTCTGCAACACTGTTTGCCTTGCCTTCCTTTTCTTTTTGTTTGTTTAATTCATTGTTTTCCCTTTTTTTTCCCCCCCTTTGAAAAACGCTATGAAAGCCACACATCAATGGACTATTTATCATGAATGTTAAGCCTTCTTCTTTTCTTTCATCATCCCTCTTCCCATTCTCGCTATCTTTGACAGGACTACCCTCGAATTACCTCCCTTTTTTTTTTTTTTCTCTCTCTCTCTCTCTCTCTCTCTCCCATATTCATATATATATATATATATATGAATATGGATCTCGTTGTCAAACGTGTGATTATTCGATGTGACGTAATATGACATATACGAATGGGTATACAAACATTATATACACTTGTATTTGTGTGTGTGTGACTGCCGTGTATTACCACACGCACACACAAATCCCATTCTAGTCTTTTTTTTTTTTTGTTTAAATAGTTCCCTCACTCTCTCTTCCACTTTACTCCTTTTTTTTTATATATACTTTGTATTTTCTCTCCTTCTTTCTTTCCACCTCTTCCTTATTTCTTAGCCCCATCGAGTAAATGGAACAAACTCATTGCGGCACATTCAAGCGCGGCCTTCAGATCCCCAACGTTTGTTGATGGGCTGCTGGTGAATGCGGAAAGCATAATGCGCACCTCATTCTCATCTATAACATAACCCAAGCCGTACCCATTAGGCGTAACAGGACCAAAAGCAAATCGATTGATCCATGCATTAGACACATTGCTCGTGCTGAGCAGCCAGCGGGTACATGTCTTGTACACATCATCCTCAAAGAAATTAAGGGCGGCGCCATCCTTGCAGTCTAGAGCCAATTGACGCAATGCAGTTAAGTGTCTGTCCACACCTTCTCCATTAACGGCGGCATTCGCAAGTGTCACGTGACGCTCCGAGGCGGCCTTCGCGAGTCCCACAAGTCCCGCCCGCTCCGTTTCATTTAACGCCGCGGCCGCATTCACATCGCGTGCGCCCTTGTTGACAGCCTCCGCGAGTGCGAGCATCTCCTGCGTTGCGGACCGAATCGTCTCTGTGCGGCCGTGGAAGAACTGAGAGGTGGAGGCGGCTTCATACGTGGGGGCGAGTTTATTACGACACTTGTGGAAAGCCACGTGAAAGCACATCTGCACAAACGCGTCAGGACTCACACCAGCGAGTTTCAGTTGTTTTTTACCAAAAGGCAGATGCAAGGCTTCTAGAGCCGTTCTACCAATTAACTCCTGCACTTCCGCACGTGCACTTCGAATGTGAGTCGCAAACGCTTTGCCAAATGTTACCCGGAGTGGTTCCACCAGAGAAGTGACTTCTTTGGCATCAATAGAAGCAGCCGTTGCAGTTGCCGTTGCGGTTGCAGCACTTGCGTTTGCCCCTTCTAGTTCGCCGAGAACATCCGAAACCCATCGTACCCACTGCACACCATCACTGCCAGCGTGCTCAAAGTTAAATGCGAATTGACCATCAGCTGAAATGATGATTTGGTGTTTATCATACCATCTGTTTTCCGCCTCCTCTTTATCTCCATGTAACATGGCCGCATTTTTAAGTTTATCATCATCTCCCCATTTGCGTGTATCAAGACATACCACAAGAATACCTTCCTGTACTTTTTTTAAAATTTCCGCATTTTCTGGAGTTTTCACCAATTCAGCATAGGCGTGTGCCCATGTTTGACGACCTCCTGCGGTGAGTACTGAGACAGGTGTTGTATTATCAAGATCAGGAGTTACGGAAAGAATATACTCAATAGAGCGTTGAATAACCGCTCGTTCAATAGGAACTTGTTGTTCATCAAAAACACGTAAAGCGTAGAGGTGTCCATCATGTAGTATAATAACATGACGTAATTTTTCAGGTGGAGTTGTAAGAAATTCATCTTTACTTTCTCCTGGTATTAGTGAGGCACCAAACTGTCGAAGCACGGGTGATACATCTTGTTTTAATTCACCTACTTCTAATCCCTCCTTTATCACACGTTGTATCCATTTAGCAATATTATACACAACGGCGGCTGCAACTCCTGCTTGTGTATCACCTGCATGCTTAATGTTTTTAGCAAGTATTCCTGGATTCGTATTGACCGGCAATGGAGCTCGGTTATTCAAATACATAGCATCCCAAATAGGCTCAATATACGAATATGGATACCCACCCTTCGCCTCTGCCGCCTTATCGGCATCCACAAGTGCCTTCTGTAGTTCTTTACCGGAGCTGCTGACAAACATATCGAGTTTCTGCAAGTGTGCCTTTACGGTGTCCGCTGGTTTCAGTGGCACAATGCTGGCGCGATAACGATCTGCAGTCTTCTCAAGTGGTGGAATGGGCAGTCGTGGTAGTTTCAGCACGTTGGAGGCGAGATCCTTCGCCAAGACACGCCTCATGGTTCCACGACTCGGACGGAGACACATCTTTAGTTGTGGATTATGCCTAATAATAATAATAATTCCCTTTTCGCTGTGTTTTTTTTTTTTTTTTTCTTTTTCTTTCTTTCTTTCTTTTTCCTCTTCTTTCTTTTTTTTTTTCTTCTTTTCTTTCTTCCTGGGCTACCAAATGTTGTTGTTGACGCTGATTAAGCAAGAAAACGTCAAAAACAAACAAATAAATAAAATAATAAAAAACAAAGATAGAAATAAAAGAAAACAAAGACGGTACTTTTCGTTTTCTTTTATTCTGAACCTTTTATTGTAATAGATTATGCTTCCTGATTGGGTCAGAAGTTGCTAAAGAAGTGAAAAGGGAATAATAATAATAATAACAATAACAATAATAAAGAAATCAACCCAAATATATATATATATGTATATATATAGTGTAATAAGCAGCTCATCAAATAAAGAAAACATATGCTTAAAAAAAAACAAAGAATAAAAAAAAAAACAATAATCCATCTTACTACAAAAGCTATCAGAAGAATCAATCAACTGGTAGTACTTACACTCCTTTTTCCTTATCATCACAAAACCGCCCATAAGAGAACGAAAATCTGCACATCAAAACAAGGCAGAATTCGTAATATCCATATTTATTAGATCCCATATGTGCTAAGGCATATGGGGTTTCACACCAGTCCGATTTAAACGGATGAACCTTTCAAGAAAGTCTTATTCATTATTTCAATTTAATGTACAAGAGAAAATGATATACACAGAAAGGTCAAAAAAAAAAAACAAGGCGGGCGTCATTACTATCCCGCTTGATTTCGCCTGCAATGATAAGAGTAAAAGTCATTACGGAGATGTATCGTTTAACAACGTGGAATATACGTAAATGTACATTTATATTTTCTCTACACAAGGTTATCGCCCCAATCCATTCATACTATATAGATGGTCGCTTACAGGTACATGATCCTTGCGAAAGCTTCTAATATATATATATATATACCCAAGTACAGGAGAGAGAAAGAAAGAAAAAAAAAAGAAAGAGAGTAAGCATATAGTACTTATGATAAGAACTTGAAAACATACAAAGTGAGAAGCACTTCCACTTTTCTTTTTTTTTTTTCTCTTACATGCCCTCACACCCCTCATCAATAACACTTAGATTTTACTGCCGCAGCTGCAAAAAAAAACAGCAAAGAAGGAAACAATTTGACACACAAGGCAAATACACAGACCCTCCCCTTGTATTTCTCTCTCTCCCTCTCCCTCTCTTTATCTCTCTATCTACCTATCTAACCATCTCACATACATGCAGAGAGAGAAAGAGATAATAAAAAAAAACAGATAGACAAGAGGAGAGACGCAGAGACTCAAATCAACATCCTTTTTTCTTCTTTTTTTTTTTCCTTCCATCTCTTTACAAACAGACATACAGACACACAGATACACAAAAACACACTCGCACCAAGAGACTTTGTCTCTTCTCCTTCTCCCTCTTCTTTTTCTTCGCCTCCTTTCCTTTTCCCTTACACGCCCTTTTCATGCTTGCATGGTTCTGTCCAGCCAACTCTCCGTTGCACCTCATTTTTTTTTTTTTGTTTTCTTTTCTGAGGCACTTCCATTCATTTTGTCGTTTCTTCCGCTTCACCATCGCTGCCTTCCACAGTCCATGAGCGGATAATATTATCAAGTGCAACACTGTCATATCGTTCAAAAACGCGAGGATCTGTGGGTGAAAGAAAATTAAAATTTCCCTTTGCGATAGATTCATCAGGAATACGATCCAGTAATGCCGTATGGAATCGAATGTAATGAACTAATGAGTAGTAAGTGTAGAGTGGGACATCTTCAGGTCGAGGAAGAGGACAAAATTTCATTAAGAATCCAAGTAGCATTAAATCAGCTCCTGGACCATCATGTAAAAGTGCTTCTTCAAAGTTTACCGCCGTAACGTAGTACATGTCTTTAATGTAGAAACGAATCTTATTAAGTGGTGGTCGACCCATAATATCTTCTGAAGTGGCAGCCCAACTATCAAACATAGTAAGCAGAATTTCTTCTAGTACCTCACGTCGGCGATTAAATTTATCAATTGGAATACTTGTAGCTCGTCGACTTACCATGTGTACATGGAGTACATAAAGCCAATATGTCAAATCCATCTCTGCGTACTGAAGATCAAAGAGTGCCTTCCACTCTTGCAATGAGATGTGATGACAGAGATGTCCAGAGATAAACTCCGAGACGGCCCGCACTTGACTGCCGAGCGTCATCCACCGCGGCCGCTCCCCCTCATACACCGCCATCGATGTTGGATCCCGCACATCTATGCCGCGATAGCGCTCCTCCGACTCTAGCACCATTTCATGCAGCAGCGCCTCCGCGGGGACAACGTCTGTGGTGGCGCGCGGCGACAGAAACGCGGCGGGGGCGGGCCGCAGGAATTTCGACTCCGCGACGCCCGCGAACTCGTCGCCGAGACTCGCCCACGCGGCGGCCGTCATCCACGACGGACCGGCGGTCCCAACGGCACTGCCGCCGTGCGCACAGAGCCGCAGGATTGTTTTAGCCCACATAGAGCCCTCCCTCTATCCCTCTAACCAGGGGAGGAATGGGTGGAAATCAGAAGAAAGGGGGGAAAAAGGAAGTAATGTAAAGAAAAGAAAATAAGTAGAAAAGAGAAATAAAAACACACACACACACTTACGCGTTCAGGTAATATCATTACATGAAGAAAAAAGAAAAAAGAATGAGAGAAAAACATCCAAAAAAAAAAAAGAAGAATAACAAAAAGGAAATAATATTCCCAGACTCGTATCACACATCAATCCTCAAATAAACAAAAAAGGCAAATAAAGCGCTCAGTCATCACTGCATTTCTTTCCATCTTTTTTTTTTTCTTTTCTTTCACTTTTTCACTTTCCGTAACAGCGAGGGAAGAAAAGATCAAAAAAAAAAAAAAGAAAAAAAAAGGAGGGGCAATACCTTGTCAGATTTAGTCTCATCTTCACTTGCACACATACTCAAATACACATACATATACACTCACACACACATGGAGAGAGACTCAGAAATATGAGTCCCTATCAAGAAGAATCCATGTGGTTTCACTACATTTCTCTGTTTTTTTTTTTTCCATTGCCAGGCTCCCCCTTCCTGTTCTTTATTTTCCTTTTTTTCATTTCGTTTCTTTTTCTTGTTCCTCCCGCCATCATCCGTTTTCTCTTCTTTTCCTTTTTTTTTGCCTGTTTGATTTGTTTTTTGTTTCTTCTTTTTTTTTTTTTTTGCAACGCGCGCTCTCCCCTACGCGGCGGCGGCCTTCGAGGCCTGGTAGCGTACGATCTGTCCCATGATCGCATCAAATGTGTCCTCCACGTCCTCGTCCTCCCAATCCTCATCCCACGACTTCATCACTTCTTCTTCAAACTGTCCACTTATGCGCCTGGCGCTCAGCGTGCGGTGGGAGCTGCTGCGGGGGGCGATGCTGGCGCTGAGATTACTGGCGGAGGCTCCCGGTATCGTCGCTGTGCCTTCCATGAGGCCAAAGGACTGAAAGTCGACAAATTGATCCTCCGACTCCCTGTACCAACTCGACCACACTTCATCTGCCTTGGGCGGCTCCAGGGCGAATCGGGCGATTTGCAGAATTTCATGCGGAGTAGCCCCTTTCCCATCTTTCCCTGCTGTGGCTGTGGGTGAGGATGATTCTACCTTGCGAGTGTTGCTCATTCTCTCTATTGATTAATACAAGAGAATATAACGGGTGTTGTTTTGTACACACTGTTTGCTATACGCTTCTTTTTCTTTCTTCTTCTTTTTCTCACGTTCTCCCCGGGTTACTATTACCCTTTCGCAGTTTATAGATTGCTTGATCTGTCACTGGTTTTTCCCCTTTGCTTTTTTTTTGTTTTTTTTTTTCTTTATTTATTTCCCTACAATCGCCGTGTGTGTGTGTGTGTGTGTGTGTGTGTGTGTGTAGAAAAAAAAAAAGAGAAAAAGGGGAAAAGTAGCAATAAATAAAGAAAAACAAACGAATTAAAGTGAATCATGAGAAAAAGAGAAGAAAAAAAAATGAGAGAGTACGGCACGTTTAATAATAAAAAGAAGACTTGAAGAAAAAAAAAAAAAAGATGGATCAAAAGAAGAAAAAAGCATATAAGAAAATGATAAAGAGAATGACCAAAGAACGAAAAAAAAAAAATGTTCATGATGCAGATAACAGCAAACGAATTACGAAAGTCAGCAATCACTTCGCTTCTCTGCCTTATAAATTTTAAGGCATTCAACTACATAAAACGCCTTAAGCCCCATTCTGCATAAATTCCAATTTTATTTCTCACAGTATATATATATATATTGGCAAACTTGGTGTATCTCATTAGTTAAGGCTCCTTACGCGGATACACTGTTACCAGCTCCCATGATAATAATCACAGTTCCGAGGTGTTTTCCTCATAGGCTGTGGTAGGACACTTCGTTCCTCTCGCAATAGCATTCAAAGACGCCGAGTAATTTCCCATAAGGTGGTTTTCAACGGCAGAACCTTTCCCTTTCACAGGACGGAAAAGTCGTTCCATGTATGTTGGCTTGCAAATATAGTTCCCATTACGATCAATATCCACTTCAACTCCAATATGAGAACCATAAAATTCTATCAAAGCAACCGCATCACTTTCATTCACAACACGAAAGGTACGTGGTATAGCTTTATTATATGCAACCTGAAATGCCTTGTTCCCCAGCGGTGGTTGTCCAAATGTATACACCGTTACTTCAGGAAGGGGATATTTTTTTTCAACTAACATTTTGCGCAAACTATATGCACAAAGACTCGCGAGGGCCCCACCTAAACTATGACCAGTACAGTAAATACGATAGACTGTGGAAGGATTAGAAGAGAGAAATTCCCATACGGCATCATGAATAGATTGACGATGTGCTTTCCAAATAGAAAGGAATCCAACATGTACAGTTGGTTTTCCTCTTCCCCATAGAGGTCTAAATGTTTTGGTGTCTTCCTTTGGCATTTCATCCCACACCTCACGACGTAAACGTAAATCTTGTCTTGCATTTCTTACATTTGCCGTACCACGAAAAGCAATCACAATACGTGGAGCTTTATGTTCTCCTTCTTTATTCGAACCGTCCCAGGATGATATTACCACTTGTACATCTAATGCTTCCATAACTAATCGAAGACGATAACCATATCGTTCCACATTAATAGGTTGTGGAATATTCGTATTAACATGGTTCCCACTATCATCTGTAGGAGGAGGAGGCATGGTATCAAATTCCGTCTCCGAAGAAGATGAAGAAGAAGAAGAGGATGGACTGCAACACCCACAACATAATCCAAATATATTCATTGGTTCCATTCGTCTCATTCTTCTCATCATCATCTGAGAAGCACCATAGGCTTCCCAAGACAAGTTAAAGCAGTCAATCGCAGTTTCAAGATTAAAGAAAGGAAGATACTCACGGTCTAGAAAGGGACGCAAAGCGGTATCTAAGAAGGCTGTCTCCATGTGTTCAAAGGCATGAACAGGTCCCGAAATAAATGTTCGTTCTGCTGTTCTCATGAGTGAATTTAGTTTTTTCCTCGCAAGCCCCAATGCACGCATTAGAATTGCCATTCTCTCACCATCAGAATCTCTGGTTGTATGACCCATTGGAGATTCTACATTATTCGGAGCACTTTGCGGTGATTCTCCAGCGTCTATCGGTTGTCGTCTGATAGAGTCCTGCAAACGCATATAATCTGAAAAGTGAGAAGGTACAACCACTTGTGTATTGGCCGCTGGCTCTTGCGAATTCACCACCAAACTGTGTTGTAAATCCGAAGGATGACAAAAAAGGGCACTTGTGTTATCTTCCGTCCCACAGTCTAAAGAAAAAGAGAAATTTCGAGGACTAGGACGGGCAGAACTTACGCCATTACGACGAGTTTGTTCAGGAAGGAAAAACGTACAGGTTCTGTCCATATTTAAAACGGCCGTATCTTCATATTGACCAGAAGTAATAAAAGACGCATTTTGTCGTGCAGTCAAATTAAAACTATTATTATTTCTTTCTGCATTTGTATCCGTATTTGGAATAGCCCCTCGAGTTTGAAACGGTGGAGAAGACGTCACTTCCTGAGATGCCGAACGCACATGACGTGCTCTTCCTGGAACTTTTCTTTTATTTTTAGCCATATATTGCCGCATACGAAAAGCGTATTGATTCCAATTAAACGTTAATTCTTCCTCTTCCGTGTGAAAAATATACATACTCCCACCATGGCGAGAAAGCCAACGATACCACGTGTTTGGCCACACCATATACTTCCATCGCTGATCCCGCGGGTTCACAGGCACCAGAGAACTTCGGTTGTGTGTTGTGTAGACGAGTGTCATGATGTTCACAAGAAAGGTTGCCACCATCACCGCTGGGAGTTGCATTAACGGTTGTGTTGCCGCCATTCCTGGAATAGTGGCGTAGCGGGTGAAAAACATAGTGATTTGAAATACGTAAAAAAGAATGGCCGCCACAAAAACAATAATAAATACACGACAGGCAAGTTGTTGTGGACGAGAGTCCAAGTATGATTTTTGACCAAGATTACTATTTAAGTGGAAGAGTAACATACAACAAACAACAGCTCCAAAGAAAAGAATACTAATGATACTAAAGAGAATAGCACTTGAACGAGCACCTGCTCTAGGCATAAAAACTTCATTTCGCCAAGCCATATCAGCTATATCTAATGCCACAATAATGAGAATAAACATTATGGATATCATCTTTGTCCAAATAGGTGGATCAAATATACTACGGCTTAAAAGTAAAAAAGCCTTTATCCCTTTAAAACTTCTTAGATTCTTTGCAGCTTCTCTCTCTTCAGCAGAAGATGGAATCCATGACATTGATGCTGTAATAGCAGCAAACATAAAACCAACCGTAACAGCCATAAACCATGTTGGAAAACGGTATTCCAGAAACTCTAACACCAATGAAGGTCGAGTCGAAAGAACCTTTACAACAGAAAGAGGATTAAGATACCAAAAGAGTGCTAACTGTAATACAATAACCCAAGTCTGTTCATAGAGTGTATTGGTAAATTTTAAATAAACAATAAAGCGAACCAAATGTAGAAATGACAGAAACAAAAATACGTATCGCCAAACTAAAGATCCCAATCCATATGGACGCTTCTCATATAAAATCCCTATAGATGAATTATTTACTCCATGTTCTAAGGTGGCAGGGATATTAAGAAGTTTTAAAGACATCTTTTGAATATCTGTGGTATTCAAAACAACGGTTGGTGGAAGCTCCGCATTATCACAACGTTCTGAAGATCTCCCACATGTTATTGTGAGTGGTAATGCCGTTACGCGATCAAAATTCAGAGATCCCGGGATATGAGCTTCCAAGTTAAACACCTGCAGATTTTCAATGGTTTCTCCCCAATTATCAGGAGATGCGAAACTAATCACAAGATTGGGAAAACGCACTAATCGATCATCAAAATCTCTACCATAGGGTCCTCCTTCCCAAACAATACTATATAAACCGGTGGTATCATTTAATACTTTTTCTGAAATACATGGACTTGTCCATTGATCGTAGTTTCGCAAATCGTGAATATCTTCACCGCAAATATTCGCTAATCCCCATGAGAGAGAACCAATACATTCTACAACTACAGCCGCTATTAATAAAGCATACCACATATATAATATAAATTTGGCAACAAATGGTGAAATAACTTCAATTTGAAGTTCTGGAGGTTCTTTTAATAGGGTCTGATCTATACCAGATCCCGCAATTCCAGATCCCCCAATTCGATTTTCATTTACGTTCCCAATGGATTGAGTAGCATCCCCGCGTAAACGCAAATTACGTGGTGGTGCTCTTGGAATAGTGAAATGTTTTCTTTTGTGTTCTTCTTCTTCTTCTTTTCTTTTTTTATGATTCCTTGTACGTTTATGATTAGTAGTACTGGATGGATTCCACTCATCATTTGCTGTTATTACTGGTGGTGGTGGTGGTGGTGGTGGTGGTAATGAGAAGAGTGCTTCACTCCTCGTCTCGGCATCTCTCCCATTACTCTCCGGCATCCCTACAGATGTAAATGTAACGGAAGACTGTGTACGTCTTGACTGTATTTGCGGCTTTAGCTCCTGTGCATAGTCGTGTGCATTAGACATAATCAAGGTGATCTAATTTATTATATATATATATATATATATATATATAGAATGGATATAAATAATAAAGGCAAATTGAAACTAATAGAGATACTCACACACACTCACACAATCCACCACACTTTACTCGTATTCTATACAAGAGAGGTCTTTTACCCTCTCCTACTGTGTTTGCACCCGCCCCAAAAAGAAAAAAAAATAAAAATAAAAAGAGAGAGTAGAAAAAGAGATATAATATAATAGTTATAATGAACAAGATATAAATTAATAAGTAAATAACATTCACTTGTGAAATTGTGAGGCATTAGGGAATTGAATAGCAGCAGGGTTGCTACAGCCCAACTTTTCTCACCACCAGTCAAACCTCATCACATCAGAAAAAAAAGGGGATGAGAAAGAAAAACAAAATACACCAATAAACTGTATCTATAATACTCACTCAATATTAACAACGAAAAAAAAAAAACAGTTTATCTTTGTACCCAATAAGAAAAAAAAAAAAAAAAAAGAAAAGGAGTTATCAAAAATGACAGTAATGACACTAAACATTAGTGCAATATAATAAACGAACAAAATGCAGTAAATACAAAAAAAAAAAGAAAAAAAAAAAGAAAAGAAAGTGCAATGTGGCCGATTAAGTTGAGGGCAATTTTGGCGGTAATTCTGTTAATGGAGGTGGATCTACTGTAGTTGGTGGAGTTTTATTGTGTACATACGCCTCTAGACAGCGTACTTTGCAGGCTCCTCCTGAGTTCCGCAAAGCCACCGCATTCAGAGAAACAGCATAAGCAGCGAGTGTGTGATTGGTCACTGCAAATCCTTTCCCTTGTGTGGGGCGAAAGAGGCGTTCAATAAACATTGGCTTACAAATATAATTCCCATTACGATCAATATCCACTTCAATACCAACATGAGAGCCATACATGCCGATTAAAGACACCGCATCACTTTCATTCACCACACGAAAGGTACGTGGAATAGATTTATCATATGCAACCTGAAATGTCTTGTTTCCCAGCGGTGGTTGTCCAAATGTATACACCGTTACTTCAGTGAGAGGATACTTTAGAATTCGCAGCATACGCCGCACACTATATGCACAAAGACACGCAAGAGCCCCACCTAAACTATGACCCGTACAGAAAATACTAAACAAAACATTAGGATGTGCTTGTATGTAGGCTTTTAATGTACGCAAGACGGCTTCCTTAAGAGAGATCCATATATTGAGGAATCCAGTATGAACTTTAGCCTTTTGTCCAAGACCCCATTGACGGTGAGTGTCCACTTCTCGCCAAGTGCGTTGACGGAAACGCAAATCTTCACGAGCATTAGAAATATTATCTGTTCCTCTAAAAGCAATAACGAGACGAGGGAGTTTACGGCGATGACAGGGAAGTGTTGTATCCATTACAGTTATCACCACCTGTACATCTCGTCCTTGAAATACTGCCACTTGATTATATCCATATTGTTCTGTATTCATTTTCAACTTTGGTTTGGATGGTGCTACTGTTGGTGTTGGTGGCGCTGGGATTATTTGTTTGGTTGGGGATGATGATACTAGAGATGAAACTTCTTTCTTATCTAGTTTCTTATCTTTATTATACTCTCCAGTCACATCACTATTACTATGATTATAATGATTTGTTGTATTCGTTGTACTCGTAATGGTAGTCTCATCCACATCTTTATCATCATTATTACTATCATCATCATCATCGTTTAGACATGGACAGCAAGGGGCGCAATAAGTCACCACAGAATATAACTTCTGTGAAACATATCTTAATGGGTAATTTATATTATTATTATTATTATTATTATTATTATTATTATTATTATTATTATTATCTTTATTATTATTAGGCGATAATTCCCCACTAACATTATCTTCAACCGCTACATAAGCCTCCCATGATAAGTTTAGACAATCAATTGCCGTCTCCAAGTTAAAAAAAGGCATTCTTCCACAACCACGTACTAATAAAGATTGTAATGGATCCACAAGTGCCTCTTCAAGACGTTCAATAATAGTGGCAGGTCGATCAATTAAATGTCGTTCTGCTTTTTGTAGAAAGTTTAACAATTCATTTTTTATTCTCACTGCTCCATGTGAAGATTGTGTCATTTCTGGAGTGTTGTTTACATTAACAATGTCATCATCATCATACTCACTCTTCTCCTCCTCCTCTTCACTATTGTAATCCTCAGAGGATGGTTCTTTATTATTATTATTATTATTATTATTATTATTATTATTATTATTATTATTACGACTACCTTCAAACTCATTTGAGGGATGAGCTAACTTACCATCACATACTACTCCATTGGTAGATGTAATACTATTACTGTCATCTTCCTTTATATGAAGATCATTCATACCTTTTCCCTTTTCAAGCCGAAACCCATTCCTACTACTACTACCACCACCACCATTCCCTTTCATGTTGGAATTTTTCTTCATTGCACTAATTTTCTTTTCATTTTGTAACCAAATAAAATTTCTCTCTTGTCGTTCGTTGTGAAAAATGTAAAGTATACCACCATGCAATTCTAGCCAGCGATACCATTCACTTGACCAGAAAACATGCCGCCATCGCGGGTTATCCGGCCGTATGGGCACTCGACGAGAAGCCACCGTCGTTGTGTACACAAAAGTCATGTGATTTACAAAGAATGTAGATACAATAACAGGAGAGATCTGTGTAAAGGGTTGATAAGAAACCACACCCGTAATTTGAGGATATAAAAGGGCTATAAGAATCACCTGGACCACAAAATAAATCAATGCGGTAGAGAAGACAAAGATAAAAACTCTACAAGCCAATTGTTGTGGTCGTGTTTCCAAGTAAGGACGTTTACCAAGATTACGGTGAAGCCAAACAAGTAATACACAACAAGTCACCATAAAGAGAAGCATAACACCATACATTAAATATTGAATATACAAACAGGCAAAATCTGTACAACCCTCCTCTGCTCCCCAATCCCATCCTTTTATATAAGCTTGGACAATATCAAGGCATAATACAGCCACTAAATAATTCACCATAGACATTTTCGCCCATAATGGAATATTACCACGAGTTGCATAAATAGGCCGAACCCCTCTTGAGGTTTCAAATGATCCACAACATGAAACTTCTCTTGTCAAGAAGGAACGATCTTCTTCATTATTCATTGGATGTTGTTGTTGTTGTTGTTGTTGTTGTTGTTGTTTTTCCTTTTCTTTAATTAATGATGATGATGATGATGGATTATCCGAGCAACCATTGACATGCCCTTGTAATGCAGAAGATGGAGGTGTTCCATCAGCTGGAGAATGGTTTGTATGATCTACTAGCAGTCCTTGTCGTTCTTCAGGTTGTAAATCTTCCATATCATCATCTTCAGACCAGTCAATTGATATCACAATAAGTGCAAATATAAAACAACTTAAAAATGCAGCAAAGTAAGTTGGGATACGAAATTCAAAGAATCGATATACTGTATTCCCACTAGTATCATAAATGCCAGCAGCGAAGACTGGATCAAGATAAAGGTAAAGAGCAAGATGTAGTAACATCATCCAATACTGTTCATATAGTGTCTTTGAGTATCTCTTTCGATAAACGAAGCGAATGAGATGTAGTATAGAGAACAGTAGAAAGGTATAACGACATGCGATAGTTCCTATAGTGTATGAGGCTCGCTGAAATACAATTCCAACAGCAGAAAAAGAAGAAACATTTCCTAATTCCCCTTCTACACCAAATATAGTTAATGTTATTTTAGAACCATTTGCAGCTACAGCAACATTTTTTGGTAATACTACAGAGGAGCAACGTGGACTCGAACGAAGACAAAGAGTACTGGTATTGTAAAGAAAAGTAGTGGCAGGCACTGAACCAGATTCTCCTCTCCCACCACTATTACTCTCACTACTCCAATCAGAAGAATAAGAATACGAAGAAGAAGAAGAGTCACTACTACTGTTATCATCTGGAGATATCGGTGATTCTTCAAGGGCAACCCTAAGAGGATACCATTTCCATTGTAAACCGTCTGGTAAGTTTTCCTGGGGAGAAGCCATACTTAATACTACCCTTACAAAACGGTTGAGTTGTACATTCAATACAGTTCGGTGACCTGTACCAACCCAACGAAGATTATACAAGAAACGAGGCGGCGTATCACTATTATTATTATAATTATTATTATTAACAACATCATCTTCTACTTCTTCAATTTGTTTCTCTTTATCTATTGCAGAACCATCTAATAGCACTTTAGGTACTGCATAAAGTTGTGAGCCCACTGCATATTCTGGCCAATTAATAAAACCAGATGAATGATAATACTTCTGAACACAAGGACTTTTCCAAGAATCCAAGTGATACAGATTCTCTTCTGCAGCTCCACATATATTAGTCATTTTCCACTGTAACGAGAGAAAAGACTGAAAAGCCAATGCTAAAATAAGAACAGCATACCATGAATACAAAAACGCCCTCGCACAACCCGTTGAAATTGTCTCAATTTGCAATTCAGCCACTAAACGTTTGGGACACTTATTGTAAACCAATACTTCAGTACCAAAACAATGATCCTCACATCGTTTCTTCCGTGGGGTTCCCGGGGCGCTATACGGTAATCTGTACAATTCCCTCGCTGGTTTATTCTCAGCGGCCTCACTTGTGGAAGGGCAAAGCGGCACTGTGAGTGAGTTCGCTCTCTCTCTTCCAGTACACTCCATTTCGTTTTTCTTTTTATTATTTTTTTTGACTTCACACTATCTTCAAAAGAAAAAGAAAAATAAGGAGGAATGCTTATGTACATGTGTATATGGGAAGGATGATAAAAGAAGTATGGGATGATTTCTTCCAAACAGCATATGAACAATGGGGAAGAAAATATATATATTTAGTAAAATTTTACACCAAAGTGAAAGTCAAACCATAAACTCAAGAAAAGAAAAGTTTCGTCGTTGTTCGTTTTTTTTTTCTTTTTTTTTTTTTTTTCCTCCGTCACAGAAGCGCTACAATCTTGAGTTAACAAATGCTTCCCATATATATATAACGACAAAATATAAAATTAATTATACATAAATAAAAGACAACGTTGATTACAAGAGAAAGAGAACTAATTTGTACACAATGTGAAGAAATGAGATTTAAAACCTTTATTTCTCCTTACAGATACATCTTCAAAACATTTTTTCCCCAGTGTTGGGTTCGCAAGAATCTCCACGTAGGAAACTGAGGAGGAGGAGGAGGAGGAACAAGAGGAAGAGGACGTCAAGGATGGTGATAAATAAGAAGAGTTCTGCCCATCACCAAAGATTGATCTATTAGTATTAGGGTCAGTATCGGCAGTTTTACCCTCATATGGAGAGGGTTTATCAACACATTTATTACCATAGGTATCACTATCGTCTAAATAATTACGTTCTAGTATATTATTACCATATTTTCTTTTTTTTTGTTGCAAGAAAGTATTAAACTCAGAATGTCTTTTTTCAAGTTGTTCTTGTCTACTTCTCAAACGTTCCACGTCGACACTCATTTCCTGAAGTGGTTTTATCCAAGCATCGACTCTTTTTTTTTCTTCGTCACCTCCTTTGGAAGTCTTATTAGTCATACTGAAGCAATGTTTTCCTGAAGAAGGATAATTGAAATACGAAAAGTCACGCGACGACGCTAATCCCTTTAGATCTTCCTTACACACATCAAAGCCATTATTACTCTCAGGAAGAGAAATTTCTGGAAAAACTGTTTTCACCACAGTTTGTATTGAATCATGAGAAGATCGTCTTGGAGGGCAACTCATATTACTCTCATCCTTACCTTCACTCTCATTTCTCCTTATGATACCATTAGAATTTCTAGAAGACACCACTTTCTTTGAAAACTCCCCTGCAGATATCGAGGGAGAAATTCCTTTCTCTGTGCTCTGACAAAAACAATCTACAGATGTAGAAAAATGGGTGCTGCCGCGTACAGGGGACGGTGATAAGGATCCCAAACAGGTATAAGAGTTTCTTGCATTATACACATTATCTATATTAAATGAAAGAAGGGTTCGCTTACAAGAGTGCGTCATGGAGTAGGGCATCGACTCACCACAGCATGGAAAAAACCTAAACTCACCATGAATGTCGGTACTTTCAGTCATAGGACTTTTTTTCTTCGATGGATGCAGAAGAACGAATAACGTTAACCTGTATTGTCTATCTGAAGGGAAAAGGTGGGTGAGGAAGGGGGGAGGGGGGCCGGCCCTACATAAATAAAAAATAAAAAAAAAATAAGAGGGTGAAAAAAAAAAGGAAATCATACGCATAAATGAAACCCAAGGAAAGAAACAAAAAAAGAAATCGAATAATATCTACCCAATAAATTGTAGAAGAGTAAAAAAAAAGAAAAAAAAAAAGATAATTCAAACATGATGTTCGGGCAATAATACTTTTCTTTACTTGGTGTTTTCAAAAGTAATTGTCCGAGACAATTCTTTTTAAGACAGTTACAAGTCCGTACAGAAAATCTTTTTCGTTCTATTTTTTTTTTTCTTACTGACACGCTTTCACCCTACGCACAAAGGGAAAGAAGAAGAAAAAGAGAGACTATATTACGAGCCCTTGGAGATCTCATTATCTCCCTTCTTTTCTCCAATTTAAGTAGTATTAAACATATCCACATACTGTGCTCGCGGTGGCCCATTGCTACTGGCACGCAGCATTCCCGTAGGACCACTTGGCGGGCGCAGCATTGATTGTGGCCCACTACTACCTCCAGTAGAAGGGGCTGGACCCTTCATTTTCATAGATGATGGTTTGGGTGGTCCTGCACGGACCATCTCAGCCGCTTTTTTCTCTTCCTCAGTCTCCTCAAAGAGGTAACGACCTGTAACAGGGTCAAACTTTGGCGGTTTCTCAGTGTCGATAATCATCTGTTTTGCTTCATCATTCTTTGGATCCTGGCTTCGTCCACGACGGAATATAAAATTAGCAATAGCTTCCAATGATCGAGAACGAGTCGATGGTTGACGTCTCTCCTGTACTGTTGTCGAACGTCCCCGAGATTGCTTGGGTGCCTGCAACTGTTTAGGATTAGACTCCTCTAAATCCTTAGAACCCTCTGGTTTGGAGTTAACACCTCTCGTAGCCTCAGCTATGCTACTATTCGCACTCCTTGATACCTCTTTTCCATGCGAAAGTGAGGACTCGCCAGATATTGAACCAGGCCTTGCAGTATGAGAAGGGGCAGAAATAGGAGGACCATGGGAAGAAGCGAGAGAACTCCTCATAGATGACACGTCACCACTCATTCTTTGAGGTGGAAACTTCGGAAGACCGGGTGGTGGTGGTGGTCCTGCTGCTGGCATTCCACTTCCCGGGTGAGATGAC